TAGTTTATTTTTCAAAAAAATAAATTTTCTAGGGAACCCCTGTCCCAACTCAACCAAACAACTCCACAAGATAAACGAAAATTGCATCAGGCACTGAAAGTTAACTATAACATATATATACTCTTAACACAAAGAGTGGTTTTGCAGAGGTTTAGAAAACATATGAATGCATGTCCGAAGAAGGCTTTATAGTTTTTGACATCAGGCACTGCCAATATTCTACAGATGTCATTTACGCTCTCCGGGAATAACAGAGAATACGAAAAGAAAACTGTACATGAATATGAATACAAGGATAAAGAAAAGGACACCATATAGCAAAGCAATAGAATATATGGAACACCAAAGAGAACAATGTGAAGGTTTGTGTAGTGTTTTCTCTTGTAAAAATTACATTTAACGGTTAAAGATAAAACTCCATTTCAACCCCTTCAAAAACAAAATGGTAAAAAAGAGATACAGAAACAGCATTCTTATTTTCCTGTTCTTCCCGCTCAAGCACTTTATTACAACATCCTCAATACAATGTACTATGAAAAACAAGGAAATGCTACAGTCCCGTTACGGAACTATTCCGTTGGAATTTGTAACCGTTAGATCATCATGTAACCATCGTGGATAGTTGATCTAACGGTTACAAACCCAGACGGAATGGTTCCGTAACGACCGTAGAATCTCCCTGAAAAACAAATCTCCACATGCATTATGCAGACAAAACATCTACATTATCGCGGTACTAAACAGAAAACTAAACCAACCCTCCCACAACAATTAAAAAAACAAAAAGTATTTTTCTACATAATCCATTCTCAAATTAACGCGAAAAAAAATAAAATTAAACAATACAAAAAAAAAAAATAAGATTCGAAATTCAAAATGTGCATTACCTCTGCTTTCAAAGATCTGATCCCCAAAGGACTTCCGAAGGAAAAGAAGAACAAATAATAATAAAAAAAAAAAATGATTGTTCACCGACCCGTGACACGAAGAATCTAAAACAACTTGTTGGTTATCCGAAATGAATTATCATGATCAAGAAAATTGTAATGTAGAATATGCGAAGCGTTAAAAATGGGATAATTTTCAATCTTCTGAATTTGTTTTGTGTCCAGAGTTCAATCAAGAAGAAGAAGAAGAAGAAGAATATCTCTCCTTTGTGACAGATTTTCTCACTCTCTTATTCAGAGAGGGGGAATAATTGAAACGACGCTGCAATAGAAGAGCAAGCAACAAAATACGAGCACAGTTCCCATATCATGCGGT